ATGTGCGAACTTGGCGCTATATTTCAAATTTCAGTGTTTTTGGTTTGATTATATTATTGAATTAAATGTATTAGTATTATTTTTTTTTTTTTATGATTATTTATTAAATTATAATTTATGATTTTGTGTTTCAAGTTTTATCATACCCGGTATGTTTACTAGGCTCTTGTTCGGACAGATTTCAGTGAGTTATTCCTAGGAATTACAGGCCTACAATATAAAACACCAAATTTCCATGCAAAATAATGGTACCGCTTTCAGCACCAAAAATCTGAAATAATCATACCGCCAGGGAGGTTAATGTGTCTTTTCATGTTAATACAGTTTTGTTAGGTTCATTCCATTATGAATAAGTGAGCTTTACTTTTGCGTCATTCTTTTTGAATCACACTGCATTTTATAAACCTTATATAAAGCAGTCTTGAACTCAGAATGTAAAGATTTGCTATAGAGAACAAGTTAATTGTGCCTAAACAGGACCAGGAAAAAATCTCCTCTTTGTCTTGAATTTGTGGCTGACAACAGCACAGTTGCTGGTATGTGAGAGTACCTAGGCACTACTGTGTCTACAGTCTCTTTATATCCGTGGTCTGAGATCTAGGGCACTGCTGCCTCTGACTTATAGTCAGATTTGTTGATATCGTTGCTGTGCTTCTCACTATTGTTCTTTCTGAAGGTATATTAAGCAAACTTTTTGATTCTGATACAGATGAAATGTTTAATTAGAGTTTTATTGAATAACTCTAACAGTTGCAACCTATGTCACACAAAACTATTTTTTACCCTAGATTAATATATATATTTCAACCCAAAAAGTGCAAATCTGCTGTTGACTACTGTAGTGATATATAATTTTGTCTGTAAGTTTGACAAATGATATATTTATTTTTGATTATTATTATTATTTATTACAGGTACTTATTCAGTACCATCAATTTACGCTTACACTGACTGCTCTACAAGAGCTGGGGCCAAAACAAGCACTTTATGTTATACTTCTGGTTTCTGTACTGATTTACATATCTTCAATTATCCATAGTAAAAGTTATCTTTTAATTTTTGTGACCAGGTTTTGTGGTTCCCAACTTCCTTCTCAAATACGATCAGCCTCCAATGTGGTCACGGTGATAATGAGTTCTGATTCTTCAGTAGAATTGGATGGGTTTTCATTACGATTCAGCACCATGCAGTCCACCTCTGGTAATGTTGACATCATTGTTCAAATAAACGTTATAGTAACTTAGTTTTTTTTTAAACACCAAACATGTCATACTTACCTGCTCTGTGCAATGGTTCTGCACAGAAAAGCCCCAATCCTCCTCTTCTTGGGTTCCCCTTCCGGTACTCCTTGCTCCTCCCCCTTGACCAGTGACCCCAATAACTGCTTGCTATGGGGGCACTGATACGTGCTCGCTCCCGAGCCCCACTCTATGCATCCATAGGAGACATAGAGTCATGGCTCGGCCCTGCCCCCGCTCTCTCCGGCTGCTGTGTCTCAGCCAATGAGGAGAGAGAGACCTGAGACAGCCGAGGCTCCCATGCACACTGCTGGATCAAGAGGGGGCTCAGGTGAGTATTAGGGGGACTGAGTAGGGAACAGCACACAGATGGTTTTTTACCTTTATGCATAGAATGAATGAAGGTAAAAAAGCCATCAGCCTTTACAACCACTTTAATTTTGAAAGCAGGAGACCAGGAGTGGACTGACAACTCATGGGGTCCCCGGGCAATAGGGGATCATGGGGCCCCTGTGTCCTTGCCCAAACTCAAAAAAGCCTATGAAAAAGGTACCAGGGGCATCTCATGGGGCCCCCTACTGACCCCGGGCCCTCGGCAGTGCCCGAGTTTCCAAATGGTCAGTCCGCCCCTGCAGACGACTATAACAGTAACTCTTACTTTTATTCTATATGTAAACTTCATATATTCTGTAAGGTATGTGAGGTTTTAAGTATATCTCCAATAAAAATTTTGCTCTAGTCTTGTATAAGGAAAGCTTTACAATCCTAAGGATTTTTTTTCTTTTCTTTTAGTTTTGGATAGATCAGGTAGGGGTTACCACCTTTATCAAATTCTTATTGCTGTCTATGTCCCTTGTGGGAAGATTTATCCTTTCAATTTTCACTGCTTACCAAAGTGAAGGAAATCTTTACTTTTTTAGAGAACAGAAGGTAAGGGTCCATGCACACTGGTCTCTGAAAAGTTCCCTTGGCAGAAAAAAACGCTCATATAGAATGATTTTGTACACAGGTTTGTCCAAACTTTACTGGTGACGACTGTCTAAAAGGGAATTCCTTTCACTTTGTAGAGATTTCAATTCACTTCCTGTTGCATCTGTAGGAACAAAGGCAGCCAAAATATCCTGACATGAGTTTTAACCTTTCTCTCTTCTACCCAGAGCTAAAGTTGAATGTTTTGGCTTTACACATTGTAAATAATAGGTTTTAACTTGGTCTGTGTCCTCGCTGAGAAAAGTATCCATTCTGCTTCTGTTCTGACAGAAAGTGATTGGAAATCCAACAAAACATGACTGTCAAAGGAACAGCAATAGGGAGAAAATCTTCTCAAAGGGAAACCTGTGGCAGTGACAGCTAAGAGGGAAAGTTCTCTCACCTTTGAGAAATTTTCACTCACTTCCTGTTGAATCAAAAGGACAAGGATATCAGAAGGATATGTAAAATGCATATTATTGTTTTGACATTGTCCTCAGTAAATCAGCAAGTATCATGTTTATCAGTTTAGATTAGTCAGAAAAAAAATGATGTGCTATTGTTTACTGCAATTTATTATTATCTATACTACATAAAGGATATAATCTATATATTCTAGAGGATTTTGCTCTTCATTTTTGAGTTAGCTGTACATTGATAACCGATCCTGCATACACCTGTCAGTTTAAAGTTCATGTACTAAACCAAATGAACACGAGGCCTGTGTGCTGAATAGACTCCTCATTACGTTTTATGCATGTCTGGCCTAATGTCAAAGTTGCAGGTAGTTCCCTGGCCACTTATTACAATTGCTGCAATATATCATGATGTCTATATGTGGATACTCATCCTCAGAGCTGGGATGTTCAATGAAGTCTTGACTGAAGACACACTCATACTTATGAGGAGGGGTAGTGCTGATCGCTGATAACAACACAAATCACTCAGAATCTTGTAATGAAGATCCCTTTCACAGAAACCTCTGTCCCTGCTTTGTTTCCTGGGAAGGAAGATGGCAGCACGTATACAAAGATTTTATTATACATTAATTAATAAAATATTTAGGATAAACACTATGAGTTTAATCACTCAAGGACCAATCCTATTCTGACTCTTTTTGTTTATAAGTAAAAATCTGTATTTTTATGCTAGAAAATTATTGATGTAATACCCTCCAGGGTAGCTAGATAGGATTCTTGTTAGTCAGAGGCTGAATAGCAGCCTGGAATGAGCAGCATGGGAGTAAGGCAGTAAGTTCACCTCAGGACGGGCTAGGAGGCTCTACAGATCAGGGCTTCTGGAGCCCTCCCACCCTTCCAGAAAGTGCTGGAACTTTCTGGAAGAGGGGCGGAGGCCCAGATTTGCATGTTTAGGGGAACTTGGCCAATCCCCAGGCAAGAGGCTTTGTAGCGTGGTCAAGGACAGCCCCTAAATGTGGCAGGGCCTGTGTAGCAGGGGTTGTTGTTGCTAGAGTTAGGTGGAAGATGGACTGAGAGAAGGCTGAAGTATGGAGCCTGGGAGGGGGCCCCAGGGAGGAGAGTCTACCTACAGGCAGGATTCTGGAAAGAAGGATTTCCACTGCCCAAAGTCTCCTAGGCAGGGCATCCTGTGCAGCAGAGAAGGAGCCAGCCCAGTGTAAGGCCTGAAGAAGGCAGCCACCAACCCACCAAGAAAACAGGACAGGACAGTGTGAGTACTTCTACACCTCCTGAGCCAGATAAATGGAGAGGGCAGTCAGGTGCAAAGCCCAACTAGTTCTCATCCAGCACTACTTAATTGTACCTCTTGGTATCCCTTGCCTCAGTGAAGCTGGGTGAAGAGGAAGGATTCATCTGGTGTCTGAGGAGTTACATCAAGGGGACTTCAGTGCTCCTTAAAATAGACAGTGCTATACTGTTGCCGATGCACATTTTTGTACAGTTTGTGGCTAAGAAGTTTCTGTTCACGTTTTGCAGTTTCTTCGGCATCCCATATACCCCTAGACCCCATCCAAGTTAATAAACCCTTAATTAAAACAACAAAACCAAGCCCAAGGACTGCTTTACTGACTCAGAGAGAAAATGTGGAAAATGTGTGTTGCCTAGCTGTGCAGCGCATAAGGGGGACCCAATCAAATCCAGTGGCCCTCAAAAGGGTAGTGCTACACTTAGAACCCCCAAACATTATATTTTTTTTTTTAGCAGAAGTCCTAGAGAATAAAATGGCAATAATTTCTTATTGCAATTTTTGTGTCACACAATATTTGTGCAACAGTTTTTTAACATACACTTTAATGAATTAAAAAAAAAACCCACAATATATAACCCAATTTTACGCCAAGTAAATAGATACCTAACATGTCATGCTTTAAAATTGCGCACACTCGAGGAATGGCACCAAACAACACTACTTAAAAATCTTGAGTGGTGACGCATTAAAAATTTTTACAGGTTACCAGTTTAGGGTTACAGAGAAGGTCTAGTACTAAAATTTTTTTTCTCTCACTATAACGTTTGCGGCGATACCTCACATGTGTGGTGTAAAGACCGTTTACATATGTGGGTGTGACCTACATATGCGTTCACTGCTGTGCATAAAGACGGGGGGGCACTTTAAAAATTTTGTATCAATATTTATTTTATTATTTTTTTTTTTTTACACTGTCCCTTTAACCTCCTTAGTGGTATTCCCGAGTGTAGCTCGGGGTAAAATTTGAGTACCAAGAGCGGTAACCCCGAGCTACACTCGGGCTTACCATGCGGTGTTGCTCAGGGAGTCCCTGCAGCACTTACCTTGTCCTTCGCTCCCACGATTTGTGTCCCCTGCAGCATCCCCGGCCATCTCCTCCGGCTGATGCCGGCATCCGGCTTCCGTGTTCCGGTCCCTGTGACATCGGGACGTACGGGCGCTGGAACCGGCGGCAAATTTGAAATTTTTAAAAAATGTCATTTTTTTTTAAAATGACTATTACACAGTAAAACATTACTGTATCAAAGCATTTCACATACATTTTGTCCCGAGTGCTTTGTCCTGTGCCCTGCCTGCATTTTGACTGTTCTTTCTGCCTGGAAACTTAGAAAAGTCCATGGCGTCCAAAAAGCGTCCCTTTACGTCAAAAAGTGGTTTTAGACCAGCTAGAGAACAGCGATAGTAAATCAGAACCACTTGCAGAATTGAGTGATAATGATTTGTGGGGGAAATTCGTCATCAGACACTGAAAACGATTTTGCGACTTTGCTCAGCGATGTGCGAATTTGCCTCTGTATTTCAAATTTCAGTGTTTTTGGTTTGATTATATTATTGAATTAAATTTATTATTATTATATTATTATTTTTTATGATTATTTATTAAATTATAATTTATGATTTCGTGTTTCAAATTTTATCCTACCCGGGATGTTTACTAGACTCTTGTTCGGACAGATTTCAGTGAGTTATTCCTAAAAATTACAGCCTACAATAAAAAAAAACTACATATTTCCATGCAAAAAAATGGTACTGCTTTCAGCACAAAAAAATCGGAAATAATCAGACCGCCGAGGAGGTTAATTTTTTTTGTATCACTTTTATTGCTGTCACAAAGGTGAGCATCCCTTGTGATCGCAATAAAGCATGACAGGTCCTCGTTATGGAGAGATCTGGGGTCAATAAGACTCTATATTTCTCCTCTACAATGGAAAGCATCAGTTAAAAAACATAATTGATCTAATGCTTTCCAAAAAAATTGTCCTCATTTACATCAGCTATGAACAGGAAGCGACATCATGACATCGCTCCCAGCCTCCTAGGTCATAAATATGAGTGAAGACCATTTTTCCTCTGCTAGTCACATGGCGTGGCAAACTGCATGGCAAGTCGCATCGATGTGACCAGGGTGTAACCCTGGTATACCACTACTTTTAAAAGTAGAACTTTAGTCAAAAAATTACATCCTGCTAGAACATGGAACTAAACCCATCAATTTAACAGTTTAAAAAAAAAGTTCAATTCCTGGCATGCCTGGAAAGATAACTGTCATATTTGCTCTCATCCAAACAGTCAAACCATTAAATGGCTGGTGTCATAACCGATCAAATGATGTGCAGCACTATGACAGTTGCAGATTAAACAGGGGCTAAGATGGCAGCTTCCTTGGCTGAAAATAAATGGAGGATTTAGCTCCTCTTTAGCCCAGATTCACACTAATGTGGTGCAGGACACCATATGTAATTCGCACAGGAAGCACACCACATTTTGTATGGCTCAAATCACATCACATCCGCACCAAAAAGGTGCAAGACCCTTTTTTTTATCCGCCCCTGAATTGCATCGCATGGGTGTTCTCACCCATGCGACACTATTTCTAGCAATCGCATTGCGCTTTGCAGTCTGATTTGGGATATCATTAATTTATCATTGACACCCGCACCAGATCATATGAACGCCATGCGATTTCAATGCAGTTGTGGGAAACACACAGGATTTGCAGCATTTCCCACACTGCATTAGTGTGAACCCAGGCTAACGAAGAACTAAACCCATTGATTTAACACAGGGTCTCCAAACTTTCTAAACAAAGGCCCAGTTTACTGTCCTTCAGACATTACAAGGGCTGGATTGCAGCCAGTGGGAGAGGAAAAGGTCCCAACATCAGTGGCAAAAAAATTATGCCCCTTTGTTTGGTGTCAGTGAGAGGAATTTTGCCCCATCATTGATGTCATTGGACCCTATCATTTGTGTCACTGGGAGGGATTGTGCCTCATTATTGGTGTCGTTGGAAGGAGTTGTGCTCCATTCATTGGTGTCAAGTGGCGGAAATTATACCCAAGAGGTATCAGTGGATGAAATAGTGCCATAAGGGCCAGATAAAAGCAAGGAAAGGGCTGCATCTGGCCCCCGGGCCGCAGTTTGGAAGACTACTGATTTAACAGTTTAAATGAAAAAATGTTACATTCCCAGCATACCATGATGTATGCTAACTGTCATATTTGCTTGTGCCAAACTGTCAGACCATCAAATGGCTGGAGTCATAACTGATCACATGTGCAGCAACATGGCAGTTGCAGATCAAACAGAGGTTAAGATGGCAGCTTCCTTGGCTGAAAAGGAGAGGAGGGTTTAGTTCCGCTTAAAGTAACACTCTATTAATACATTTGTTTTATATTGGGTACAGGTATTTAAAAAAAATGTATCATCACCTTCCATGTTGGTATCCTTATACATTTTAAACAGTTAATATTTTTTATAAGGTATTCGCCTGGTTGGAGGAAAAAATAGCTTGGAAGGAATTGTTGAAGTAGAGTACCAGGGACTTCGAGGAAAGATATGTCCTAAGCATTGGAGTAACAAGGATGCCAAAGTCGTGTGTCGCCAGCTTGGCTTTCAAGGCCCTGCAATAGCTACCAGGTATTTTTTTTTATTAAAATCTTACATAACCAATACATGCTTGATCAAACACTTAAATTAACTAAATATGGCACCACTGAACAGGACTTACAATTCCAGAAAACCAGCACCATGCTCATTTAGCAGAGAGAATCCTAAAAATCACATTCCTTCTCTATCCAACTTTAGGTATCTGTATTGAACTGTATTGTTGCTGTATTGTCTCCCGTTATATTGTAAAGGGCTGAGCAAATTGTTGGCACTATATAAATCCTGTATAATACATATTTATTGCTACGGCATGCTCTACAGGTTCAATTTGGGACTCTGGCCCTGGAACTTTCCAATTTCTCCCTTGAGGGGCTAATGTTGGACCCAGATGTGGTGAAGCTGGTCACTACCTTATATACCCGTCTCCAGGCGGTCAGGATTAACCATTTTCAAATTGATCTTCGTAAATGGGGGGCGGTACTCCCTGGGCTGCCAGAGGAGGGTTGAGAGGAGGCGGTGGAGGTCTGTTTTCAAGATCTTATTAGTACTGCTGACAGGTTTATTCAATTCAAATTTATACACTATCTTCATTATACCCCAGCTAGGCTGACCGGCATGGGCTTTGGATTGGCGTCCTCTTGTCCCCGTTGTTGTCTTAGGGGTGCTGATCTGGTATATATGTTTTGGGCCTCTCCGGCCCTTGCTTCATACTGGCAGGACCTCTTTACTTTCTCTTTGACGAAACTTTGCATTTGTCGGTGCCATGTACCCCGGAGGTTGGCCTGTTGGGTATTTTGAATGATTTTGTCCCTCACACTCAGTCTAGAATATTGATACACCTGCTCCTGTTTTATGCTAGAAAACTTGTTTTGTTAAACTGGAAGAGTGACACTCCACCTTCTATACACCAATTCTATCGAATGGGGAATTTTGTTCTGCCTCAATATAAGCTGATCTATAAAGGATGGGCCTGCCCTTAAACGTTCACAAAAATCTGGCAACCTTGTTTGGATATAGCGGACTCTTTCTGGGGGGATACTCTCTTATCACAGCCACTGTCACAGGGTTCTTTGGCTTGAGTAGTGGAGATTATGAGCTATAGATCTCTTCTGTTGTGTACGGGGAGTTGATGGTGATGGTGCTGGTGCTGGTGTTGGTGTGTAATTGTGTTTGTTGTGTATACAGTTGAAAGAAAAAGTATGTGAACCCCTTGGGATTACGTGGAGTTTTGCATGAATTGGGCATAAAATGTGCTCTGAACGTCATCTAAGTCACAATAGAAGAACACAGTCTGCTGAACATAATACTACACAAACATTAGATGTTGCCATGGTTTAATTGCACATAACATGTAAACATTCACAGTGCAGGGAGGAAAAAGTATGTGAGGCCCTAGCTTAATGACTTCTCCCAGAGCTAATTGGAGCCAGGAGGGAGCCAACCTTGACTCCAATCAGTGTGATAATATTGGATGTGTTGCTGACAGCTGTCCTGCCCTTAAAAAACACACACCTGTTTTGGGTTTACTGGTTTCAAGAAGCACTGTCTGATGTGAACCATGCCTCGCAGAAAAGAGCTCTCAGAAGACCTACGATCAAGAATTGTTGACTTGCGTGAAGCTGGAAAGGGTTACAAAAGTATCTCCAAAAGCCTTGATGTTCATGTGTCCACGGTAAGACAGACTGTCTACAAATGGAGAAAGTTTAGCACTGTTGCTACTCTCCCTAGGCATGGTCGTCCTGTAAAAATGACTGCAAGAGCACAGCGCAGAATGCTGCATGAGGTAAAGAAGAATCCCAGAGTGTCAGCTAAAGACCTACAGAAATCTCTGGCACATGCTAACATTTTTGTTGACACATCTACAATAAGGAAAACATTAAACAAGAATGGAGTACATGGGAGGACACCACGGAGGAAGCCATTGCTGTCCAAAATGAATATTGCAGCACGTTTGAAGTTTGCAAAAGAGCACCTGGATGTTCCACAGCACTACTGGCAAAATATACTGTGGACAGATGAAACCAAGATTGAGTTGTTTGGGAAGAACACACAACACTATGTGTGCAGAAAAAAAGGCACAGCACACCAACATCAAAACCTCATCCCCACTGTAAAACATGGCGGAGGGAGCATCATGGTTTGGGGCTGCTTTGCGGCCTCAGGGCCTGGACGGATTGTTGTCATTGATGGGAAAATGAATTCCAGAGTTTATCAAGACATTTTGCAGGAAAACGTACAACCATCTGTCCGCCAACTGAAGCTCCGCAGAGGATGGGTGATGCAACAGGACAATGACCCAAAGCATACAAGTACTTCAACAAAACAATGGCTGCAACAGCACAGAATACGCCTTCTGGAGTGGCCCAGTCAGAGTCCTGACCTCAACCCGATTGAAATGCTGTGGCATGACCTTAACAGAGCGATTCACACCAGACATCCCAAGAATATTGCTACACTGAAACAGTTTTGTGAAGAGGAGTGGTCCAAAATGACTCCAGATCGTTGTGCAGGTCTGATCTGCAACTACAGGAAACGTTTGGTTGAGGTTATTGCTGCCAAAGGAGGGTCAACCAGTTATTAAGTCCAAATGTTCACATACATTTTCCTCCCTGCACTGTGAATGTTTACATGTTATGTGCAATTAAACCATGGCAACATCTAATGTTTGTGTAGTATTATGTTCAGCAGACTGTGTTCTTCTATTGTTGTGAATTAGATGACGTTCAGAGCATTTTATGCCCAATTCATGCAAAACTCCACGTAATCCCAAGGGGTTCACATACTTTTTCTTGCAACTGTAGATAACTGTGTGTTTGGTTGCT